TGCCTCTTTTATTTATTTATTTTTCTATCACAGTCTCACCGTCGGCAGCATAACAAAGACAAGCCGTACAAGTGCCACAACTGTAATCGTGGTTACACAGATGCTGCCAGTCTAGAGGTTCACCTGTCCACACACACCGTGAAACACGCCAAGCTGTTCTCCTGTGGCCTCTGCAACCGATCCTATACCTCGGTAAGACTTCTGGTATCTGACATGCAGTTTACTGAAAGTGTAGATTTAGTTGTACTGCAACAGAGAAGACGTAACAGGAGAGAGTTGGCAGAAATTGTACTGCTGGTTTGCAGATGCTTTACTGTTAATACACTATTGTTTATTGTTAATCCATAAGTCTGTCTGACATGCATTATATGTAGAGCTCTAATGAGCCTTTTGTTCTGATCTCAGGTCTTAGAATAGAATAATATAATGATTATTACTGCAAAGCACTGATCATGCCTCTCTGCCAAAATCATTGTTCGTGCAGTTTAAGCCAGATGCTGTATAGCAGCTGGTACTGTTAATGTATCTAGTAATTATATAATTATGCACATACATCATCAATGGGCACAGGGATTGTGTCTTTGGGTTGTTCATAGATATTTCAGGAGTGCGTGAAGGATATTTCTTCAGATTGAACACAAATGTTCATTTAGTCTTCAGATGGCACAAATGTCTAATGTGGATTAAATTATTTACCCAAAAGCTAAAAAAAAATTAACTTCACTTTCACATCCAGATGTTTTGCAACACTTTTCTGCCCAGCAGCAAAACTCATTAACTCAAAAATCATTCACTATAAATATTAAATGGCTGGTTAGTGATGCCATACAACCACAAAGCTATATTAATAGTTTTCTGAGAAAATGTAATGACATAGTCTGCTCTGTGAACTGCTGTATTAAAAAAATCAAAACACATTCTTCCTGTTTTTCTTTCCTGACATCATGTGTTCTACTTCTGTCATCCGTTCTCCAGGAGACGTATCTAATGAAACACATGAAGAAGCACAACCCCGACCCATTAACAGTGGCAGCAACAGTAGCTGCTCAGCAGGCCCAGGGTCTGACACCAGGCAGGGGCCGAGGCCGCGGTCGAGGGAGAGGTGCGGGCAGAGCGAACCAGCTCCAAAACCAGACGAACCCTAACAACCAGAACCCAAACCCCGGACCCCCAGGCAGCTACCAGCCACAACAGCAACCCACAGAATCTGTGGTCCCCTGCCCATTTGATCTACACCAGTACAAGACAGTGTCAGCCAGCGAGATCCAGTACAAACCAGTCACTGTGGCAGACCTGCCAGTGACCCACAAAGACCTCTGCCTAACCGTCTCCACGTCAGCCATACAGGTGGAGCACATGAACTCATAGGCTGCGTCTTCCTGCTCTGCTCGAGGGATTAGTCGAGTAAAAATGGTCCATATGTACAAGTAATTTAACTGTATTCAGTATTAGAGCCTTCTTAAAATCAGGGGAAAAACAGCTGATTGGGTGAATTTCTATAATTCAGATCTTCTATTTTATTGACACATCACTGAATTTGAAAGTGTAAAAACACTAGTGTATTCAGTTTAGACTTCCGTAGCTTTCCGTGAGATTATTTTTTAAAAGCGGTTAGTCGGGTAATGCAATACAATCATGGATAGAAGTAAATTTGAATTCACCCACTTAAGAAGCTTTGATGCTGAGTACAACCATAAATTACTTACACAGATATTTTACAGTGTGCTTCTTGATTCCTGAGCCCACTTGCCATGTATCTCTCAGTCCTGCTCTGAGGGATCTTTGGAGGATAAAGGTGTAAAATATCTGTAAAATTAAAAAAAATAATTTCACTATTCTTTGAGCAGTTATGGTCCAAAGAATAGTGTAAATGTTGAAGACATTCAGATCACATTAATCTGAACATTCATCACTTATTAGTTCAAGCCAAAACAAAGAACGGAGTGAATGATGGGAGACTGTAGAGA